TGCAGCACTATACGGTATGACTGTAAAGTTTCTATTGTAAAGCAATTCGAGTTATGAATTGCGCTTATTGATTGGCTGCATGAGTTCAATTAGATGGTTTCTGATTAGTCGACTACAAAACACTACATCAATAAATAAGCGAAACAATTTGTTTGTTGCAGCTTGATATACATAGGAGTACTCATCAGTTTCACAATTCTGAATCAGCTATACTGGAATAACAGGGAATAATTGATTGTTGGGGCCATTAATTGCAATTTTTTGAACCCAATTAATTGATTGGGTGCATAGCCACAATGAGTTAATTAATTGCAATTAGCTTACATATCATATGTTCGCCATCAAGAATATTAATTAATATAAATACATGTGGCTTTTAATTTTTCGCTTTTAAAAAATTGTAATACCAAGTATTGTATGCAGGTATAGTGAAAGAAAAACTGAATTTAATCTCAATTATTTGCAATTATTTCGTCATTAATTGGGTTTCATTTCAAATATCGATATGCATATTGTAAAATCCAGAGATCATACGCCGCTTGAGATACGTACGTAACATGTCAGTACTCACCTTTAGCATTGTTTTACAGTCTATAGTCAGTAACTGATTGTCGATCGGATAATTGACAGCGATAGTCATTATTATGCACGTGTCTATAAATACACATTATAATTAGTTAAATTAGTAATCGTTCAGTTGACTTTTTTTAAAAAAAAAAAAATGAATGCAATACCGAATGAATGTCTTTTTGAAATACTTAATAACTTTCGTACAAGTCATGGAATTTTATTTTCTTGCCTTTTCGTAAATCGTCAATGGTGTGAAAATGCTGTACAAATATTATGGAGCGAACCAAATGAATGTTTCAAAGAAAGAAGACTTATAAAGATTTATCTTTCATTGTTGAATTCCAAAGAACAAGCTCTATTAATACCATTTGATATAATACTTCCAAAGAAACAAAATCGTTTATTTGATTATTCTTCCTTTACTCAATCTATTATCGGTTTTAATCTGATCTTTGGAATTATAAATTGGCTCAAAAATGAAGGTCATGGTCCTCGT